ACTCGAAGACCACGACGTGGCCTACAGTTGGCTCCGGGCATTCAAAATCATGCCCAGGAATGGAGTTCCGGGAATTCGAAACCACGAAGTGGCCTACAGTTGGCTCCGGGCATTCAAAATCATGCCCAGGAATGGGATTCTGGGAACTCGAAGACCACGAAGTGGCCGACAGTTGGCTCCGAGCATTCAAAATCATGCCCAGGAATGGAGTTCTGGGAATTCGAAGACCACGAAGTGGCCTACAGTTGGCTCCGGGCATTCAAAATCATGCCCAGGAATGGAGTTCTGGGACCTCGAAGACCACGAAGTGTGTAACTGTTGGCTTAAAACAACTTCCGCGGGTTCTCCCCGGCACCCGCCCAGACCCCCCTGGGGAGTCAAGATGTTCTCTTTTGACACTACTAGAAACCTATCAGTCTTCGCTGTTAGGTAATATGGAGAACACATGAGTTCCTAACGCCCCAGGGCGGGACAAACATGAAAACACATGGGTTCCTAACGCCCCAGGGCGGGAGAAGCGTGAAAACACATGGGTTCCCAACGCCCCAGGGCGGAACAAGCGTGAAACCACGCGTCTAGCTCGAGACATCGTCAACACATCTTCATGCCAGACATCTGCCTGGGCAGCCTGAACGCGTGAAACCAAGCGTCTAGCTCGGGACATCCTCAAAATCAGGGCACGTGAAAACAAGCATTTCCCCTAAGACATCCTCTGAATTCTGGCGCAAATAGATCCGACAGTCCACCTCAAGTCGGGGCCGGGGGGAAACAAAACCAAAAAAGAACCCTGGGCATCTGCCCTTTCCGGGAAAAGCAAAAGGTCTGGTGACACCTGGGAACCTGAATCCCGAGGAAGTCTCGAGCGGGCGCCTCGTCTGTGACTGAATTGTATGGAGGTCTCGAACGGGAGTCTCGTTTGTGAGTGAATCGCGAGGAAGTCTCAGGCGGAAGCCCCCCTCCCTCTGGGGTCCCCGCCTCACGTTGGTAGTCCGCGGCGGCCATCGGGATGCTGGGAGCCTGTGTCCACAGGAAGTCTCGAG